GAGACAAAAGGGAGACAAAATTCCCTAGTGCAAAATTGTTGAGGTAGAAAATTATCCAAAGTGCTAGTGCAATAAACTGTTCACCTTTGGTAGAGTCAATTATACTAGGCTCTTAGTATCTTAAGGAAGCACTACCCTCCTTGTATACAGGAGCAGGAAACATAAAGGTCAACAGGACTGGTGATCACATAAAATAACACTTTATTAGTAAAACACAAATAAAAACCTATATCAGTAAGTAATACCAGTCCCAAAGAGACCTGGCCATTATCCCCTTACTCATCTACCTGCAAACCATCTCCCACCCTATTTGGCAAGGACATGCCCCCTGCCAAGCTGTGACACCCCGGGCCTAAATTACAAGGGGAGAGTGGGCGGGAAACTCTTGCTGGCCCGGATCCTAAGTGGCACGGAGGTCAGCTTAATTTGTCACCACCCACTTCCTCACATCCAACACTCCCACACATAACCAACAGCCAATCATGTTTCATCCATTCCCACACTCATACATGTGCCCTTGTCCGCTAAGCTGCACACTCTCCCTTGGGTCTGGATAGCAGCTTTCTGTGGAAAACGGAGGGTAAAACAGGATACCATTGTGATCTGGACCACTGAGGGTAACACAGGATAATAAACTCTAGAACACTGAGAATAACACAGGATAGCAGCAAGCTTTGGAACACTGAGAGTGACACAGGAGTTTAGGTACCACAGGACACAGTACCACTGAGCAAAGTCTCCAGGAACGGGACACAAAAAGCAAGGGTTTCAGCAATTAGGATACCGGGACCAGAACTAAAACAAAATTAATGAACATTCAAACTAGAAGAGATGAGTAAACTAAATAGGGAGGAGATATTACAAGGTAGGGCTAGATGGGGCTAGATAGAGTCAGATCTATTAATGTCAACAACTAGAACCTCTTCTGCATCGAACATCATCAAATACTGTTCACAGGAAATCATTGGATTTACCAGTTTTAAAGAAAGATATTGTGGAACTAGAAAAAGTTCACAGGTGAGCTACAAATTTAGTAAATACGATGGAAACAGTTGTGAAAAAAGGCCCGAAAAACTGCATTTGTTTTCTTTAGAAAAAAAGGCACCTTGAGATGGGCTATGATAGCACTATAGAAACATATAAGGGGTCAGTGCAAACTGATATGTGCCTACCTGTTCATTAGCAGGAATATAGAACAGGAAAGCAGTCACCCATTGAGGCTGTAATAAAGGTGTTCTCGCTTACAGCAGATGAAAGCATTCTTTACAGTAAGAACAATAAAGATGCTCTACCTAAAGAGGTTATCTCATTTATTTATTAGATTCTATAGATATATTTTTAAAAGGGGTTGGATGCTTTTTTGCAAAAAACAAGAAATTTGAGAAAAGGGTGAGGGAGAGTGAAATGGGGAGGGGAAAGGAAAGAGATATGGGGGAGCAAGAGAGGCAGTGGGAAAGAGGGAGGCTATGTGGTACTTAGATTAGAGCATGCAGAAGTGACAATAAAGATAAAAAATATAACATCCCTTCCCTCTCTACTCCATAACTCACTCCAGATCTCTTCCCTCTCTCCACATATCCTTTACAGTCCTTTGCCTCTCTCACAGAAATCCCCCTTCCTCTACTCCCCCATATCCACCTCTCCATCTCTTCTCTCTCTTCTTCCTTCTCTCCCATGGAATTCCCTTGCTAATCTTTCTTCATCAAATCCCCCTCCCCATTCCTCTTCCTATCCTCTCTCACACAAATCCTCCTGTCCATCGTCATCCCTCTTTCCCACAATCCAACATCTGTTCTATATCTCCCAAATCCCCTTCCCCATCTCCATCCCTCTCTCACACAAATCTCTCCTACCCTTCTTCATCCCTTCACTATCTCCCATATCCCCATTCTTAAAGCTACAACCTTTCCCCCATGCCTTCCCCCTTTCTAAATCCACCATCCGCCTAAACACATGTTCCCCTCTATCAATTACCATATCCTCTCTTCCTATTTTCCCCTCTTCCCTACATTACTTCCATTCACATCTCACTAAATTTCCAAATCACTATTCTATTCATGCCCAAGTCTTTCACTAACAGAACTAGTCAGGGTCAGCCCTGCTTAGCTTTTCAGATTTGCCAAGGTCAAGGCAGCTCAGACTAGAGTATCCTCAATTATTACTAAATATAAAAATTCTACTTGTACTTGAAAGAAGTGGTGTTTTAATAAATTATAATATTACTAGCAAGTTTTTAAAAGCCAAATCAGTCATTATATGTCAGCATTGAATGTTCTTCCATACCAAATCTAGTCAGGGCCAGCTCTGCTTAGCTTTTGATGTTTGCCAATGACCAGCAAGTTCAGACTAAATATCTGAAAACTACCTATTCCAAAAATTATTTGGAATTTCATGAATATATTTTGAATTTTATACAAAATTATATTTTATAGGTAAAATCTAATATATAAAAGATAATTTCTTTCTTTTTATCAACCAGATCTTTGTTTGCAAAATGTAATTTTAGAAAATAAAACATATTGTAAAGCTTGGCATCAATGATGAGCTTTTTTTTTTTTTTTTTTTTTTTTTTTAACCTCATACCTCCCAAAAAAAAAACACCTGAACCGATGCCAAAAACTAAATAAGTGATTCCACAAATTTCCTTGTGGTTTGTTTTATATTGTGATTATTGTTTCCCATGTTTTACATCCCTTCTTCAACTAGCCGAGACAATCAAAATCCACAGAGGAGAATTTCTTTGATTTAGATTAAAATCAATGGTGCAAAAAGTAATCTTCTCTTCTAGCACTGCCTTTTTTAGTATATTACTGGATGTTAGATATTAGTAATATGTTTTAGAATTGTCTGTACTGTAGTGTATTTGTCAGTCACTATGTTTTATACAGTGCAATTTACTTTTGAAACACATTTTTCTGTGCTGTCTAAAAACTGCAGAGTTTATCCAGTTTCTCTCCCACTTTACTGTAACTTGATTCCAAAGAGTTTGGAGTTAATTATCATTAAGGGTAGATCTCCTATTGTCTATACCTGCAACTACATAGATAAAAACATAACATACACATGACCTCCACCCTCCTTACCATTTTCCAAAACCACCCCCAATAGAGCAAATGGACCAGGACAACAAATTGGAATGGATAACAATCTCTGGTTGCTTTGATAAACAACAATTAAAAGGCATCCAATGGTTAACGGACAAATAAATATCAAATTTTAATATAGAATAACTGATGACTAGGGTGGCGCCACTGAAGTCCTAACTATATGCCTCAGACCACAAGAGGATGTGGCTCCTACCTAGTCCTGCAGAGTATTCCTTCTGCCCAGCACCTCACTTAGATACTCTGGAAAGATCCCCTTACCTCCCAATACCTTGAGAGGGAAACAGGCCAACCAAAACTTGCCAGCACTCTGGTCCTCCATCTCTGCATTACCCTGAAGCCACACCCTCTCGCAGGAGAGGGAAATAGAACAAAACTCTCGCTCAACAGAGCAGTAGAAATGCAAGGCTGAATAAACTGACAGCTATCACAGGAGAGTTGAAAACCAAACCGGAGGTGCAGCGAGCTCGACTAAGCAGGCCTCCCACTGGGAAACTAACCACCCTAACCTAATTTTCACAAACTCACCTCTTCATTCAAACACCTATACTACACTCAAATGTACACAATCATTTAAAAGCCAATACTACAATACAAACTCATCCCTGCAATCAAACAAACATCACAAACAAAAACCATCCCTGTATTAAAATGCATGTTATATACAAATAAATCTTCATACAAACACCAACACTACACACAAAAGTACACCTGCATTTAACAGCCAACACAAAATACAAACATACCCCTTCACTCAAATGCAAACATACATAGATTCTAATGGCATTCGTACATACAAATACCCCTCTCCACGCATACACACAAGCACTATACAAAAACATAATTACATCCAAACGCACAAACATGCAAGAATTGGCAAATGGTATAGCATAGCATCCTGGTATTTGTAACAGATGTGGGATTTACCTTTTGACAGGGGCGGACTGACCACTCGGGCATATCGGTCATGGACCGAGGGCCCGAGGCAGTCAGGGGCCCGGCAGCACAGCCATGTTCCAGCTGGAGAGATCAGAGATCTCTCCAACTGGAACAGCAAAAAAATAATAAAACTATTTAATCGATAGGTTGTGGGGCCCCTGATGCAGATGCCCCTGATGCTCTGCTAGTCACCCCCCCCCCCCAACAATGAGACCTGGCAGCTTTACCAGCTCTCTGCCAGGTCTCCTGCTTCCTCTCCCATGCGGCTCTGTGTGATGGGAGAGGCGGGGCCAGGAAGTGACCTCACTTCCTGTTTACTCCTCTCACACAGAGCCCAGCGAGGGGAAGGAGCAGCAGCCTGGGAGAGGAAGCAGACAGACAGGTAGGCACCAATCACCCCTCCCCCACTGTCACTAGTCACACCCCCTCGCACTAGTCACCCCCCTCACTGTCACTAGTCACCCCCACTGTCACTAGTCACCCTGTCACTAGTCACACCCCCTCACTAGTCACCCCCCCACTGCCCCCTCACTGTCACTAGTCACCCCCCACTGTCACTAATCACCCCCACTGTCACTAGTCACCTCCTCCTCACTGTGCCCCCCACTCACAATCACCCCCCTCTGTCACTAGTCACCCCCTCACTGTCACTAGTCACCCTCCCTCACTGCCACTAGTCACTCCCCTCACTGTCACTAGTCACCCCCCTCACTGTCACTAGTCACCCCCCACTGTGTCACTAGTCACCCCTTACCTCACTCACTTTCACCCCTTCCCTCACTCACTCTGTAACCCCTTCCCTCCCTCACTTTGTCGCTAGTCACCCATTCCCTCCCTCACTTTGTCACTAGTCACCCCCTCCCTCTGTCACTGGTCATCCCCTCCCTCACTCTGTCACTAGTCACCCACTCACTCTAGTGACAGAGTGAGGGAGAGGGTGACTAGTGACAGAGGGAGGGGGTGAATAGTGACAGAGTGAGGGAGGGAGTGACTAGTGACAGAGGGAGGGATGGGGTGACACAGTGACAGAGGGAGGGGGTGACTAGTGACATAGTTAGGGAGGGAGTGACTAGTGACAGAGGGAGGGATGGGGTGACTAGTGGCAGTCACAATCTCCCTCCCTCTGTCACAAGTCACCATCTCTCTCCCTCTGTCACTAGTCACCCCCTCCCTCACTAGTCACCCCCCCCTCACTCTGTCACTGGTCACCCATTCCCTCCCTCACTCTGTCACTAATCACCACCTCACTCTGTCACTAGTCACCCTCTCCCTCACTCTGTCACTACTCACACCCTCCCTCACTCTGTCACTAGAGTGAGGGGATGACTGGTGACAGAGTGAGGGGATGACTGGTGACAGAGTGAGTTAGGGGGTGACTAGTGACAGAGTAAGGGACGAGGGAGCTGACTAGTGACAGAAGGAGGGATGGAGTAGTGACAGAGGGAGGTGGTGACTAGTGACAGTCACCACCTCCCTCACTCTGTCACTAGTCACCCCTTCCCTCACTCTGTCACTAGTCACCCCCTCACTCTAGTGACAGTGAGGGAGGGTGTGACTAGTGACAGAGTGAGGGAAGGAAGTGGTGACTAGTGACAGCGTTAGGGAGGGAAAGGGTGACTAGTGACAGAGTGAGGAAGGGGGTGACTAGTGACAGAGGGAGGGGTGACTAGGGACAGAGTGAGGGAGGTGGTGACTAGTGACAGTCACCACCTCCCTCACTCTGTCACTAGTCACCCCCTCCCTCACTGTGTCACCCCCTCCCTCTGTCACTGGTCACCCACTCCCTCCCTCACTCTGTCACCAGTCACCCCTTCCTTCCCTCTGTCACTAGTCAACCCTTCCCTCACTCTGTCACTAGTCACCCCCCTCACTCTAGTGACAGAGAGAGGGAGGGTGTGACTAGTGACAGAGAGAGGGAGGGTGTGACTAGTGACAGAGAGAGGGAGGGGGTGACTAGTGACAGTGAGGAAGGGTGTGACTAGTGACAGAGTGAGGGAGGGTGTCACTAGTGACAGAGAGAGGGAGGGGGTGACGTGACAGAGTGAGGGAGGGGAGGGGGTGACTAGTGAAAGTCACCACCTCCTTCACTCTGTCACTAGTCACCCCCTTCCTCACTCTGTCACTAGAGTGAGGGGGTGACTAGTGACAGAGTGAGGGGGTGACAGAGTGAGGGAAGGGGATGACTGGTGACAGAGTGAGGGAGGGGATGACTGGTGACAGAGTGAGGGAGGGTGTGACTAGTGACAGAAGGAAGGAGGGAGTAGTGACAGAGGGATGTGGTGACTAGTGACAGAGTGAGG